CAGTAAGGAGTATGGGAGATGGGCAAATGGGTGAAGGGTAATGGGAGATACAGGCTTCCAGTTATGGAATTAATAAGTCATGGGGATAAAAAGTAAAACATAGGGAATATAGTCAATGGTGTTGTAATAGTGTTGTATGGTGACAGATGGTAGCTACACTTATGGTGAGCACAGCATAATGTATAGAGTTGTTGAATCACTACGTTGTACACCTGAAACTACTGTAACATTATGTGTCAACTATACTTCAATTTAAAAAAAAGAATAATTTTTTGGCTCAGTCAGTTGAGTTTCTGACTCTTGATTTTGGTTCAGGTCATGATCTCAGGGTCATGGGATTGAGCCCCACGTCTGGCTTTATGCTGAGCACAGAAACTGCTTAAGATCCTCTCTCTCTCCTTCTGCCCCTCTCCCCCACTGACACTCTCTCAAAATAAAAAATAAAATCTTAAAAAAAATAATTACTGAATTTTAAAATCAGGAAGGACGCCAATGTGCACCTACTTCACCCTGTCATATGTTTAGTTATGTCTAATTTTTAAATCACAAAAAATTCAAATGTAATAATAGCTGCCCCATCACTTTGACTTGGTTATTTAGAGGTGTGTTGTGTTGATCATGTTAGTCACATGTAATAAAAACTGAGATGTTTTCTTGTCACCACTATTAATTGGCAAAGGAGCTCTCCTTAGCAACTTTACTGTTCTCATAGTTGAAGAACATGCTCAATAAACTTCATTCTCTCTCCTGACACAACCTATACACATAAAGGATGCTACAAAACACAATCTACAAATAGATTTGTGAGCGGAATCTACCATAATAAGCAATTCTCTTTTGAAAAGGCCTACTCTTGAACCCACCCAATAAGTAATTAGCATCTGTTTGCCTTGTCCCAAATTACTGATTTGATTTGATTTGGTTTGATTAAATCTAGTTCAAACTTCTCAAATCCTCCAAATTCTACCCAAGGACCAGGATTAGAATGGTGCAAAATTTAAATTTAAGGAGGTAGAGTAACAAAAACTCAATACTCAAATAACATCTTTATTTCCCCCATTATTTATTTTTGAGAGAGAGACGGGGGTGGGGGGGAGAGAGGAGGGACAGAGAGAGAAGGAGGCACAGAATCTGAAGCAGGCTCCAGGCTTCGAGCTGTCAGCACAGAGCCCAACGTGGGGCTCAAATCCACGAACTGTGAGATCATGACCTGAGGCAAAGTCTTACTCTTGGTTTCGGCTCAGGTCATGATCTCGCAGTTTGTGGGTTCAAGCCCCACATCGGGCTCTGTGCTGACAACATGGAACCTACCTGGTATTCTCTCTTTCTCCCTCTCTCTCTCTCTGCCCCATACTCTGTCTCTCTCTCAAAAAACAAAATAAAAATTAACTAAAAATTTGAAAGCAACCCAAGTGTTCATCAATGGATGCATGGAAAAATAAAAATGTGCTATATACACACAAACAATGAAATTTTATTCAGCATTAAAAAGGATAGAAATTTTGCAATATTCTACAACATGGGTGAATCTTGAGGACATTACGCTAAGTGAAATAATCAGCCAGTCACAAAAAGACAAATACTATATGATTCTACTGATATGGTACCTAGCATAGTCAAAATCAAAGATACAGAAAGTAGAATGGTGGTTGCCAGGGACTGAAGGAGAAAGAATGGAAAGTTATTGTTTAATAGGTATTGAGTTTCAGTTTTACAAGATGAAAAGTTATGAATGGCTCAATATGGTATACTTTATGTTACGTGTATTTTAACACAATAAAAAATTTGTGGAAAGACAAAAGAACACATTTCATTTGATATGTAGACATTGTCTTATATATTATTTAAAATAATTCAGCTAAAACATTTTTAAAGCTTCATTGCATTATTTTCTTACTAATACTAATTACTAATTAGTATTTTACTCTTAACATCATCTTTTAGGTGTTTACATCTAAATTTTAATTTCTTAGAGCTTGGGAACAATTTTCCCATCTTCTGTTCTTCCTAAAATAGACCTGATATATAATAAATATATGTGGATTTTTTGTTAAAAGGGAAACACAAAAAGAGGGATGTCTTATGCCACCATAATGCTGGCATTACTACCTTTAGCATTTTGTGTAAGGCAGGTCTAGTGGTCATGAATTCATTTGGCTTTTGTTTGTCTGGAAAGATTTTATATCCCCTTAATTTTTGAAAGTCAGTTTTGCCTGATATAATATTCTTTGTTGGTAGCTTTTTCTTTCAGTGCTTTGAATATATCTTCCCACTACCTTCTAGACTGTAAGATTTCTGATGAAAACTTTCCTCATAGTCCTATGGGGGTTCCTTTAGATGTAAAAACTTACTTTTTTTTTCTACTTAAAAAATTCTCTCTTTGTCTTTGAATTTTGGCAATTATATTATAATGTATTTTATGGATTTCTTTGGGTTTATCTTATTTGAGGTTATTTGGTCTTTCTCAATCTGGATATCCCATTTCCTTCTTCCAGCTTCGGAAGTTTTTAACCATTATTTCTTAGAATATGCTTTCTTTCTTTCTTTTTTAAAGTTTATTTATTTATTTTTAGGAAGAGTGAGAGAGAGAGAGGGAAAGAGAGAGAGCAAGCATGAGTGGGGGAGAGAGAATACCAAGCAGGCTCCACACTGTCAGTTCAGAATCCAATGTGGGGCTTGATCCCACTAACCAAATGTGAGCCAAAACCAAGAGTCAGATGTTCAACACACTGAGCTACCCAGGTGCCCCAAATGTGCTTTCTGATCCTTTTCTTCTCTGTTCTTTTTTCTGGAACTCTCATAATGCATATAGTCCCACTAATGGTGCTCCATAAGTCCTTTAAGTCACTGTTTCTCATTCCTTTATCTTATTTGCTCTTCTTACTTAATCGTTTCCAGTGACTTCTCCTTGAGTTCATTGGTCATTTTGTTTGCTTGATCTAGTCTGCTGTTGAATACCTCTAACGCATTTTTGAGTTGTTAGTATATTATAAGCATCATGATTTCTGTTTGGTACTTGGGGATCTGGACTAATGGATCAAGTCTTTGCCTCCCAAATAGAAAGCTGGGAACTAGGATTATTTATCTACTCACTTGGTGGTGAGCAGGAGGAGTACCATTGATGTCTAATAGCTCAAGCTGCCACCCCTGTTGCCCCTGGACATCTAGACAGTTCAGACCCATCAGAGCTCCCAGAACTGGCAGGACAGATTCCAGATGTTTGGGCATCCCCCTTGAAAATGTATGCATGTTGGATATCTAAGCAAATCCTTCTCTGCTGGGTGAAGCTGAGAGCTAGATGTTTTCTCCCTGCTTGTAAGGCACTGCACTGTGGTAAGAATCTCTAACGAGAGGGTGTCTTGAATCTCCCTACTGGCTTTGGTAAGCTCTGCTTTGTTCTAGTAAAAACCTTGTTTCATTTAAGCCTAAACTAAACCCCATCACCACAAATTCTATATAATATTCTGACAAGTTGCATTTCCACTTGAGGTTTCTTCCTTTGCAAACAAGAATTCCATATAAATTCTGGGTTTTTTTTTTTTCATTTTTCAGAATCAAGAAAATTTTATTTCCTTTAACACTAATACATACTAGGCAAGATGTCACTCATTAAAAATCACATTTACTTTTGTTCTATAAAATTGAATAACAAAGCTTGTAATAATCAGAATTTAGGAACTAAGGAGAAAATTATGGTCATTACCTCCTCCAATCAATTCTTTACACTGTTTGGTAAATATGCGACATCGTCCTTTGTAACAGAAGGAATCGCCTGAATCACAACTTTGTCCATTACGTGCATAAGTGTCAGGCATACAGTGTGGGGAAACTCCATTGCAATATTCAGTGAAATCACATTCGTCATATGATTTCCTACACTGTATACCAATTGATTTTAGCTAGAAGGGAAAAGGAACATAAGAAAAGATTATGCATTAATGATACTCAAGTTCTACTTCCCTTCAAGTTTTAAATTTTCACTCATTTACTTTTTCCTAAGTTGCTAAGAGCAATGAGAAAATTAAGTCTTCTCATTAACTACTTAAGCATTGCACAGAAATTTAAAAAACTAAATTTACTGTGGATAAAGGAGTGGATAATGCTCGTGAGAGAAGTGAGAAACTCAAAGATAAGTAGACTACCATAATTTTTTTTTAAAAAAAAAGAAAGACAAAAAGCACAGCTAAGGAATTAACATAAAAATTACTTTCAAAAAAGTTACTTCCAACCCATTATGGCTATGCTCACATGGACAGCCTTTGGTTTCTCCATATGCTGTTCCTTAAAGCAGAAATCAACCATTTACAAAACAATAAATATACATGATAAAGATTTAGAAAACAGTTTCTAGATGTTTTTAAAGGTAATTTAAGGACACACAGGAAATGTTTATTTCACATATCATATTGTAAACAACTGTAAAAAAATAATGTCCTCAATTACATATCTCTGATCTCTTTAGCACTTATGCTTTAGCTAATAGCTTCCAGGATTCATTTCCTGTATACCTGTCTTCACCAACAAATACCCAAATATCATCACTGCAAACCCTTTCCTCAACCTAAGCCCCAGTTCCTCATCGCTATCATCACTATCCTATGCAAACCAAGTCAAATTTGTTCTAGCTTTCAAAGGTCCTAGAGGCTCCTCTGTAACATTCACCACCCCCAAAATAGGTTTTCTGTATACTTTTTTCCATGTTGGCAAGTATTTGCAATATATAGCAATTCTGACACAAATTCTTCAAGTGATGGGTGGGAAGACAAAACACAATACTTGTGTCACCCAAGCTTATAGAGTTAACAATCAAATAAAAAACAATGATCAAAATTGTTTCTAAAGGAAAATACATATAAGTATAATGAAAAAGTATTAATATTACTTTCTTTAAAATATGCTTCCTGTTATAAATATGTATAAATGGAAATATTACATTTATTCTAATTTCCTCTATTGTTATGACTGTCTTTTATAGCAGTTTAAGGGCCACAGAAAATATGAGGGGTAAGTACAGAGACTTCCCATATAACCCTTGATCAGCACATATAAAGCCTCCCCTCTAATCAACATCTCCAACTGGAGTGGTACATTTGTTACAATTGAACTTATGTGACACATCATAATCACTCAAAGTCCATAGTTTACATGAAAGTTCTTTCTTGTTGTTATATATTTTATGGGCTTAAACATATGTATAATGACATGTATCTATTGTTATGGTATCTTACAAAGTATTTCCACTGCCCTAAAAATCCTTCATGCTCTGCCCATTCATCTCCCCTTCAGTCCCTGACAATCACTGATCTTTTTATGGTCCTTTTTATAGTCTGACCTTTTCCAGAATGTCATATATTTGGAATCATAGAGTCTGTAACTTTTTCAGATTGGCTTCTTTCACCCAACTTCTTTTTCAATACTACTTATAAATGTGCAGTTCCTCAAATGTTTTATCATCCTACTTGCTCCTTTATTAAGAGGTGTTAATTTTTCTTTACTTGGCTCCCTAATTCCAAAATGGCCCTAAAACTTAAAAATGGCTGACTCCTTGTTTCTGAAGTGCTTTCTCTTAAAATCTTTTTTGTTTTTTTATTTTGTTTTTAATTTATTTTTATTTTTTGCCAAGACTTTCAGTCTGTACATGTAATGCGTCATTCATTGTCAGGGCTATGACCCTTTACACAACTAATAAGGAATGGGTGGGTTAATTTATTGCCTCTGACCACCACACCAGCCTTGACTGCATAGTAAAGAGAGTATTATGTATATCAGAAAATTCATAGCTTGGGCTATGTACCTTTTGATAATTAGGCCCAACGACTATTCCAGTCTCAATAGCACTTGTTCACATATCCCTGTTGATACAACTGGTTTAAGTTATTCCCTTTTGACGCAGCAATGTCAGGAAACTGAGTAATCTTCTATACTTCTTGTGTTTGATAGGTTAGTCAATTTTTTTAAAGTTACCCTTAATATGAATAATTATGACTAAATTATATCAAATAATGGAAAGGAAGAGGAGAGTAACATCAGCAAATGTTAGAATAGGAGATTCCTGGCTGCATATCCACACAGAAATGCCTGTTTTAACAACTACCTTGAATGACAATCTGGCTGAAAGGTTCTAGTCCCCAGGTGAAGCAAAAAATCTGAGAGTAGATTCATTGGAAGATGGTAAGAACAGTTTGATTTTACCCACATTATCCGTTCCTCAAGGTGGCACAGCTCAATGCCAAGAGAGACTCTTGGCTTGTGATTTCTCTGACAGAGGAAAATAAAAGTGATGATAAGCTGGTTTCCCCAGCCCTGCAAAACACTGTCCAAGAGACTTACTTTTGTCTCACCCGACTCAGACCACTTAGGGAATTGGCATACTTAAATAGTCTTGGGATACCAAGGAGTAGGGAAAAGAGATGGGGGTTCACATCAACTAGCACATAGATTACAACAACCAGCCACATATCTAATTAACTGTCTTACAGACTTCAGCAAGAACCTCACCCATGAGCCAACAGGATGCGTTATCTGAGGACACCCACAACAAGCCAACTAACACCCCCAGTACTCCACACTCACAACCTGTCGCCAGAACAACAAACTCTCCAGCAGATGGCACACATGAGGTTCCAACAAGTGGGCACAATCCTGCAGACAACACATGGATATCAGCACCTGGCTGGACTTTGCTGAATTGCACAACCTTGAACACTTCAAGGCACTGTTTTATGGAAATTTTCTGAGGGGCTCTCCATAGCCATACTGACTTTCTGGGATTGAGAGAAGGTGTACAACCCTAAACTCTGGCCCTCTGGAGGTGTGAAACAACCCGGGAAGAGGAGTGGAACAAGCACACCCATAAAAAAGGTCTGAGAGACCCCCAAAACTCTAGTTGGTCTGACTACTGACTGGTTTCTTTCTCTCTCGAAGCCAGCTAGTAAACACTAGAAGAGATGTGAAACACTTCAATTGTGAAGGTAGCAGTTCAAGACTTCAAGAAACATCAAGAATCAAGGAAACGTGATGCCAACAACAGAGGTCTTGTGGAAGACAAATGAAAGAAATGGAAATGTACAAAGTGTCTGACAAAAAATTAAAAATAATCATCATAAGCTCAGACAAGAGAGCACAGATAGACATAAACAAAATCAGGAAAACAATACATGAATGAAATGAGAAGTTTCACAAAGAAGAGAGAATTTTTTTTAAAAAGAACCAAACAGAAGAAATTCTAGATCTGAAGAATACAATGACTGAACTGAAAAATTCTATTAAAAAGCTTTAAAGGCACAGCTGATCAAGCAGAAGAAACAGTTAACTCAAGGGCAATCATTTAAAATTATCCAGTCAGAAGAACAAAAAAGAAAAAATATTAAAGAGAGCTTATGGCTTGGGGCAGTTAATATGGTGTAGTAAGGGGATCCTGGGTTTGTCTTGTCCCTTGAACATAGCTAGATGGACATCAAGCCATTTTGAATACCTAGGGAATTGATCTGAGGACTAACAGAACAACCTGTATAATTTGAGGGAGAGAACACAACAGGTACATGGTGCAAAGAGGTGAACTGGGGGAGAGAATAGCCACAGTGCCGGTGCCACAGAGGGGAGACAGCCGTTTTCCCAGAGAGGAGAAAGATGGGAGGTAGGAGGAGAAATGCATCAGATTTGCATAAGAAAGCACTCCCCCCTGAAAGCAGCAAGAGAGAAAGAGTGAAAACATCCATAGGGGACTGCATAAGAAAACTGTTCCCCAAAACCACTGACAGAGGAAAAAGGACAGTTTCAATACCACCAGTATTTTCTACGAAGAGTGGAGCACAGAGTCTGAAGTTTCAGAGGTCAGCCCCTGGTGGTGTTCCCAGGAGGAAGCAGGGTGGAGCCCCTGGAGTGTGCAGAGCCATCTGAGGATAACCTGGGTTGCTCAAGGAGAAGCAGTTCCCCTGCTTGGAGTATGCTTGGTAGAGATGATACAGCCTCTCTGTGGGCAAAAGACAGGGCTGGCACCATCAAGCTGCCACCTTCACCCATTCACCCATAAAGGAACACAGACACTGGCTGAAGGCAGCATACCCTGGTGCCAGTTGTGTGTTGTGACTTCCCATTAACTCTGAGCCCCTGCCACTGAGCAGTGGCATGACTATTTCCTGAGACATGCTGGCCACAGTGTGGTGACACCCTCCCCCAGAAGATCACTGCGTCCAAATCCCAAGGGTCTCTGAAGTATTTTGAAACACAACCATACCTGATATAAAATTCTGGAAAGAGATGCTGCCTGGTAGGCAGACATCTGGGACACAGGGGAAGGCAGGGTGCTGACAGAAGTGGGGGATATAAGAGCGGTGACTGATATGCAATCCTGTGTCTGTGAGGGCATGAATTTCCTACTCTGGAGACTAGACAGTAGTGTGAAGCCATTTTCACCTTTAGTCCACCAATACTGTCGGACACCAGGAAGCTAAAAAGCACGACCAAATGGAGAATGGAGCTGTTACACCAAGAGCCCACACACTCCCGGCCCTCGAGGCACATCTCCACTAGAGCAAGTAGGATTCAGAATCAGAACAGCAAGCTCCTCCCTCAGAAGACCAGCGTGAATCCCTCCCACGAACTTAATCTACTGCCCACAGACTGCTGCAAGGTTTTAGCTCTAGGGGAAACTGGATCTAGCTTCATTTGGGATTTTTTGTTTGTAATTTGTTTATTCATTTTTCATTATTGTTGTCGGTTTTTGCTGTTGTTGTTGTTATTTTTCTTTTGTGTCTTGGATGCAGAAAAAGCAAAATTTTTTATTTTATTTTTTATTTTTAAAATTTTTAGTTTTTGCTCTTTTCTCTGCTTTCTATCAAGCTTGTGTTAACAGGAAGACCAAAACACACCTAGGATCTAGCTTCCTTTATTTGATTTT